GTTGAAAGACCCTCCTGATGCGACTCCAAACCCCGCCGCAACACCTCTAGAGCTAGAACCGGACGCGTGCGAAGCAAGGTCCATAGTACCAAATGCCGGCGCGCCTGCCACAACTGGATCCATTCCGAGAGCCATCCCACTCAACCCAGTGGGAACAAACATCCCCATTCCGGGCATCGCAGCGTCCATGCTGGTTTCCGAGTTGTAAAGGAAGTTGAAGTCGAGTGCGCTTGTGCTACCTAAATCCGCCTGCCCCTCACTGTTGCTCATGGGATGATCTAGATCTTCCGTACTGACGTATTGAGAGTCAGAGGCATAGGACTCATCAGAGAAGTAGCCAATGTGATGGGCAAAATTGCCGGTGTTAGGATAACTAGCTCGAAAGTTATTGTGGATGCTATTAGGAAGAACGTGCTGGGAAGGTGGCTGCTCGTTGTCCGTAATTGGCGAGCCAATGATCTGAGAGTCACGTAGATGAGTCTGACCATACTGGAAGAGATAATGAGGTTGAGCAGGAGGGTGAACAACGTATGGGCTAGCTTGCGCCTGTATCACTGGAGAAGATATCTCCCCGCTTTCACTTTCCTCTGCTTGCATTTCAGCGATGACTGACATAGACAGATGAGACGCCGTCTTTCCTGTCGCATCAGCGCCGACACCCGCCTTCATCGCACTCATCCTTCGCTTCTTTCTCGACGTCTTCCTCATACTTCCTCCACCTTCCATAGCAGACTTTTGTTCTACCAACAGTTTCTCGAAAATATCTGCAATGCGTATCGCGCACTCCCAGCTCTCGGCGCATTCGCGCAGGAGGTCGACAAGTTCTTGGACATTGTCAAGTGCGGAGGCCTGAGATTGTGTAGCAGGCCGCCGGCCCAGAGAAGCTTGCATGGCCTGAAGGATATAAATAGTGCCTGAGGCGAATATAGTTTGAACGAGCGTGATAGGCGCATAGCGCACAGTGCCGTAAATCCTTCGCCAGAGGCGGAGTATACCAAGGATTTCACGTGCAGCATTGTTACAACGCTAGAAAAATGACGATGGAGTGTAAGTCATGACTTCAGATAACGCAAAGGGAACTTACAGCAATGCTTAAACTCGAATCAACTGACTTAGCGCGACGGCGTCGGTAGAATGGACGGTGAAGTAGTATCAGCAGCCACCAGAAAGCGGCATGTGTCATAAGTTTGTGCGGAAGCGCGCTTGACTCGTTCGACGGCGTAAGTTTGAGTTCCGCAGGAAGATCCTGGCGCCACGCATCGAGCTGAATGCTATTCACGCAGTGGAGTTATGAGTATACTAGCGTATTACAATGTGCAGAAAACATACTCGATATCGGTGACCAGAAGCTTTATCTCTAATCCGCCGTCGGAAGTTGTAAGACGATTCCTGTTAGTTGGCGGAAACGGGTAATCAGATAGAAGTTATGATATTAAGCGCCTAAAATGCGGAAGACGTACATCAAGTCCATAATTCGCCTACTGATTTTCATCAGCTGAGAGCTCCACAGGAAATTTGTAAAGGTCTTGCACTGCGACACGCCTGAGCCTACGATTTCATCCTGACCACCCCTCCCACGCCACGCCATCGTATCTAATCTATCATATACACCTCCTGCAGAGATTGTCTTCAAGCAAAACGGATCATCCATAGCGAGAGTGGTTGATTCACCCATACTCTTAGTTTTCAGCTTCGGGCCTTCAGAGCCAGCGTCAACACTGCCTGCAACTTCGACATTTTGATTCTGATTGTGGATTGAGGAACTTAAAGGGAGCGAGATACCGCACTCTCGCCCGACGTATAGGCTCCAGCACGCATCCTGCGCACAACCCATGTGGAAGGCCCATGCGCGATCAAAGACCTGCTGGGGCTTCAAGCGACCCGCGCGGAGTAGCGGCGTGCAATCAGCACAGAGGCCGAGTGCTTGTGCAATACGCGCGGACATGCCTGCGAAGTATACATAAAAACTTTCAACTCACCTTCCCTCACGATGGGGGAAGACCACGCACCAAAGTACATGAACCCGAGCGTCTGCTGGCCCATGCCACTGTAGTAACTCGCTAGCATTCCCAGTGCTTGTACCGTGCTGATATTGGGTCGCGAGCACTCTTCCTCGATGTATGCTTTTGCCTCTTCTGCAAAACGCGAGCGTATCTCTCGCTTGCGAATTTCACGGTCCGTCGAAAAGGCTGTCGCAACAGAAAGTAGCGTGTTATGGAGGAACGGCGAATAGTGAGCGAGTTTAGGAAGCATTGGCGATGCAGGAGATGTAGGACGGGAAGAAGACGAGGGATGCAGAAAGGTATGCATGTCACGGAGGAAATATTCAGGGATAATACGCATGCCCCACGAGGAAAAGAACAAGAAAAGACGGTCAAGAAGTCTGTTAAATTAGAGGTCAAATGTTAGATACGAACAAGTAATGACCCGTAGAGTGTTATAACTTACACGTCGTGCTCGCTCCGTGACAGCGGCACGTTCTTCGGCAACCATCGATTCCAGCATTCGCTCTGGCACTCGCACCCCTTCCATATTTCCCTCGCTTGATCCCCGATCATTAAAACGTGACGCTGGGTCCTTGCTGGAGAAACAGACCGTATCGTCCTTGCTCTCGCTTTCCCCTCACTCCTGCGGTTCTTTTTGGCCGATTTCCTGAGATACGAAGGATGAGCTTGCATATGCGGAGGGAGCGCTGATGAATCAGAATGGAAGCCCTCGACGTGTGGCGTCAAGTGATTTTTTTGTAGAGGAAGACGGGATCGGCCGGTGTTCCTATCTTGCGATGACGGATACGAATTGTGTCCACTTTCCTTTCCAATGTTCACTGTTCCTGTCCGGTAATCTTCCCGGTGAGAGTGTGTACGCAGGGTACGAAGAGGTGTACGGTGTCGTAGGCGGAAGACAGATGTTAGGCCGTACAGATGGAGGTCGTCATGCTCACTCTGCAAAGAAAGAACCATGCAGAAAGTTAGCACGTAAGTTGAAGCGTCACTTCGTAAAAGGAAAGAAGGTACAAGCGACTCACGAAAAGGGTCTTCGTGGGAGCAACGAGCGCTTCGTTCACGTCTTCATCGCTGCCCTCATTATCGTCGTCATTATCATAGGCGCTTTCCACATCACAATCGTCTTCAGTAGCTACACTACCACCATCCCCGTCGCTCTCGCTCTCGTCGACGTCAAACATGGGGGTTTCATCTTGTCCGTCGGTACCACCTACATCGTCGAGGGGCACGAGTCCCCATATACCAGTCCGAAGATCGCCGATACCGTGCACTTGTTTGTCGGGTGCTTGTCGTGCATTTTGACCGGGCCCCGGGCTAAGTGAGGACGAGGACGCACGTCCCTCATGGATGATGAAGCTATTTGCCTCTTGAGCCGGGCTCGAAAGGCTCGCAACGCTCGAGGGGTTCGAATTGCTCGTACCCGAAGCGGCGTGCAGCCGCAGCGCAGCGACTTCCCGGCCCAGCCGTTCGACCTCTGCGCGAAGGACCGCGTTTTGATGTTTTAGCGCTTGTTCATGCGCACGCGTGAGCGAGCGACGTGCAGTCCTCGAGCGTCCATACGCACTGTTGGTTAGAACATACACGAGTTATCAGCGATATGCTTGTGAAGATGAGAGCTCTGATTCTCGATAGCGTGGTTAAAAAAAGGATTGCGTACATCGTGTCCAGTCTTCTGGCAGCGTTCACATACGGGCTTTCCGCCTTCGCACTTCGTCTTCCTAGATGGGTGTATCCAATCAGTTTACGTCCAGTTTTCTTCAAGATTGAGAAATTAAAGTAAGGTGAAGTAGGTCTAGATTTCGGATTGCATAAGCCATGAAGGAGGTCGAAAAAGTCGTGCGTATATAGACAAACATGTCGGAATGGTGAAAAGGAATGAAAAACGTGTGATGCGTGCATGAGCATAGAGAAGACTAAGAATTCAACGGGAGACAATTAATAAGAAGACCAAGAAAAGAACGAGTATACCAGGAAAGCTTATAAGAGCGATAAAGCAAGCAGGAATAACACAGAGAAAGGCAATGATGGATGACAAACAAGAAAAGACGAAAAGAATCAGAACGAAGGCACCCAGAAACAGCCTAAAGACGCAACGCGGAAAATGATATGTGAAGTAAATGAAAAAGGTAACGAGAAAGAGAACCACACACGCTTTCTTGCACTGGGCGCACGCATGTCGCGTGTATTTCCCCACGACGACACGTTTACCCTTCGTCATACGACTCTCTCCTCCTCTTGAACCTTCTCCGTTGAAACCAGAATCCATTCTCCCGAGACCAATACTTCCTGCAGATTCAGAGCCCATGCTACGCTTGGTTGTATAGTTTTGACTTAATCCTTCGACCTCACTGGACAACAGCTGAATTGAGAGACAATGAGACGAACTAGAAGGAAGTTTCAGTGAAGGTGGACGCACATTGATAGTGTCGTGCGTTATGGAATGTCGACCATCCGTATACCGAGGCCGCGACCGCCTAAGCGCTTGTAATTCGACAGAGCTACCAAAGATCAGTGGAACTAGTTTTGGATGTGCGAGGTGTTACGAGGGATTTCTAGTTTTAAGAGGAAAATATCATTCAAATTTGAGTACGTAGAGTAATAGCGTGCTGAGATACGGCTTACGTCCGGTAGGAACAAATGCGCTCTTCTAGTCCAGCTGATCGGTGACAACGCTTCAACGTATCGCAGCTGAGCAGACAACTCGTCTCGGTGAGAAATAGAGAAAGCAGACGGTATCAACCGCGAGGATGCTTGAGCGCAAGTGGCCGTCAGTGAACGAGTCGGCCGATTGACTTCGAAATTGCACAGCCACATCGGATTGTGGCCGGACCGAGCCTTTCCGGCTGACGTTAAAGACCTCATTCCCACCAGGCTGAGATCTTTCGTCATAAGTACATAATATACTTTGTCCCTCTTCCAGTAGTTTCTGGAACTACAAACACATTTGTCTGACCGTGCTATATACATCGATTCAAAAAGCACTGTTCAAACCCTTCATTCCCCGACCGGGAATCGAACCCGGCCCACCACGGTTCAATTATATAAGTGAAAGCGTGGGATCCTAGCCGATGGACCATCGAGGACTCATTGTACAGTCAATGTTTGGTTATATATCTAGTCTTTTTTCGTTGCTACAACCTTGCACGTTTCGAATCTATATCGCCGTTCAAAATCTTGCTGGCTGCATTCTTTCAAGAATCTTATTATATAGAACAGTCATCGTCGCAGTAGCACAAGTTTTCCACCGCCTGTTCAAGCTTCATAGTTATCGGACATAATGGATAGCAATGTTTGCAGGCACCAACCCGCGGCAGTTCCTTGTGAAGCTTCAAGGCGATCTGTAAGTTTCGCATGTACCTACATACGTACATATGAGCATTTCCAAGGCTAAAATCTACTGTGTTTCGAGTATGTAGAAGTTTGGCTCGACATTTGCCAGGCACTTGAATACCAGCTTTCCGAGAAGGAATATCGAAAACCTGACGTTCGTTTGAAAAGCCCTCGAATCCATCTCCACCACACCATCCAGGAAGCAGCTCCACGCCGCAGCAGAGTATCCGCCTCCTGCAAGTCTGCGCATTTTCAGCATATATGGCACAGCTCTCTCCCGCTGGTCCGCAGTGAGAGATGCTAGCGCTTGCTTAAAAACAAGTGCCTTCACCCGGATAGGCAGCGTAGACCAGTACTCGCTGTCGACAAAGTTACTCACATGCTCCTGAATACCGTGTAACACGTCCCGGAGACTCAAGTATGGATCCCCATGCTCGTCTAAGGGGCTCAGACCGGCTCTCGCAATAATGGTGAAAATAATAACCGACCCTCCAGGCCGATTCAGTCCAATCCTGACGCGCGAAAGCGGAGGGTAGAACGCAGTCCAGTTGAGCTCAGCATTCGTCAGGCGGCGTCCGTTGTATTTCGCTGACAGGAACGAAGTCGAGACATCCCAATCGAATACGGAACGGTCTTTTCCCGGAAAGATGCCCAACGCTGGATGGGTAAGCGTTCTGCTGGTGTGCAGTGACATTAAGGACGAGGGACTGTTCCCGCGCAAGAGCGCATAAACTGTCTTGCAGTTTTCAATCGAGGGGTTGTCCTGCTGTTCGAATGTATTCGTATTAAAATCATAGTTCTCCCTGAAGACAGGAACATAGGTCAAGGCAGAACGTGAAGGCTGCGATGAAGGTCGTTATTTAAAGAATGTAAATGATGGATCGCAATTATGCATACCGGTATATAGCTTGGAAATAACGAACAAAAGTGCTTCCAAAATTTCCTGCGGACAACGTCGCTAACCGCATTTCGCCCATACGGATGCCTTGGAGGAAAAGCTGGCTCCTTCGAAATCCACTTGGGATCCAGTCTACCAGTCATTAGCACTCGTTTCGTTGTCTCGCAAAGTTTGCGAACATCCAATGATACAGGAATAGTGGTCGCGCGGTGTTCGACGAAGACTTCAGGTACGATTGGTTCGGGTGGTTCGTGAACTATTGGCACAATGCTCTCGACAAACGGGAGTGTCTCCCGCAAAGCTTCGGCTTCGTGTTCTCGGATATGTTCTTGTCTGCTCTGATTATCAAATTCTGTTGGAGCCATCTGCGAGCGAGTGAAACGACGTAGATGGCAGAGAAGAAGGTATACTCAGCAGCGGAACCGACTTATTGATAACAAGGTCGTTCTTGTCACAACGTGCTGGCTATAACAAGACTTCAAGGTAACATAACCACAGGCCACAGGCCACAGTGTCAGAAAGAAAGACACTGTCGCATAATAGCTAGGCCCGAAAGACATTTAGGACAAATAATACAATATCCTTCGACAATGAAACGTACGAATAAGCAAGCAGTGATGATAACCATTGTGGGTTGAAATATGGCTTATGTCTGTGGTTAAAGGAAACAACCTGAGTTTTCTGTAGGTATCAGAATCTCGGGTAAAGCGAAAAAGGGGATAGCCACGTGTTGGCCACGTGTGGAGTTTATTGACGAATTCCGAGTCATTGTTCTTGGTCTCCGTCATACTTCACACGTTAGCAAACAAGGAAACTATGGCCAGCTTTTGTCTCATAGCCATTGCTAAGAAATCCATTATGTCGGCTATCTGTACGTTCATGAATATACAGGCTCGTTTCTCGCCCGCCATTCTCTAGTTGCTTTGTTGTCTGCGTAATCTTTGATGGCTTCACGGTCAATGATGGATTATTGAAGTTTGAATTCTGAATACCCATAGCTCTCCTGGAAAAGTAGGGTGTCTGTACTAACTTCGACGATGCATTCTTCGTGCTTCGAAATGAACAACTTATGCTCTCAAAACTCGCGTTCTGCACACAATGATATGGCCTCTACAACAAATGCTCTGAGTTTTCGAACTTCCCATGCTATTGTGGCTGCAGAAGACTATCGCGGAACTTCTACGGGTGCAGGTTTTGACCCACAAGATCCTGCACATAAGACAGCTATAGGCGTCCATCTCGCTCCGAAGGTATGTATGATTCTGCGTGCAGGCCGGAATCCCACTTCTGATACTCTGTCGGCAGGTCGTGGCGCAGAAATCCGGGGATATAGAAGTCGAAGATACGCTCTCCCAGAATAGCGACTTTGTTCTGAGTAGCCTTCGGTATAAAATCTCCCTCTTCTTGCACCATGTTCTGACTCGTCACTGCGAGGAATCCGACTTTGCCTGGCGCGTCTCTTCCCCAGTAACCACTGCACGCTATGGCAACGAATTAGCACCACCTTCAATTCTCTACGCCTCCGCAATAATGCCTCGACGCTCTTCTATCGAGGTTATTATTGGCGAAAGCTTTGCTTACAACGTCCACATCATCGCGACGCCGCTCACCTGTCCCACGTTGGTCGTTACCAACCACGAGACCGGAGAGCCGGAGTACAAACCAGTACTCACTGTATGCGCGGTCGTGGGAAATCTCTACAGGGCATTTAACACGCGCCTTCCTTCAGCGCATTGGCGCACGTTCAGCATCAACCAGAAGTTGGTCCTTGCTAAAGGCCTGCATACGCGGCGCAAGATGCCTATTCGCACATGTTCAACGACGCGATGTCGGTGTGGAACCACAACCTAAACGAGGAGGAGCAGCTATGCATGGCAGTGAAGATGCACGAGCTCCTCGACGCATACGCTTTCCCCGTTGAAGAGGGTTCGATGATTAGGTTGGGGATTACAGGCGTCTTGGTTGGTGATTATCTCGGCGGGAAGACGATGTTCAAAGGTTTGCAACTCGGACAGGAGGATAAATTCATCCTTCACACGGTGTCAGCACTTAAAGTACAGCTGGCCTGTGGTCGGAGCGGTTGGATAGTTCGCATTTTATAATATTCTCTTCTAATGTAGTTAAAAAGCTATAGGCTGAGTGCAAAGAACGGTGGGACCGCGACATGCGCAGTATGTACGAAGAATGAAGCCTCTGAGAAATCACGCGTATAAGCGTTGGTGACAATACCTGCCGCAAGGCGAAAACACCTTGTTTATAAGTGCTGATCGAGTTCTCGGAGGTGGTGCTGTGTACTACACAGAACACCTTTTCCGAACCGTGCAACTTGCGGATGCTATCTTGGTGGAGTACGACTGACTTCTAGGTGAAGCACTCTTCAGTCGTCACCGACTATATTCAAAGCGAGGAATCTCGAGAAAGGCATTGTACATCCGGAGGCCACAGATGCATTCCACTTCGCGATTGTGGCTAGCTCTTTTGGCGAATATCGTTATGTTAAAAATCCATTGTGTTGGCTATCCGTGCCTTCTCGGACTACATGCCGGTTTATTGCTTACTGTTCTCCATTTGCTTTGATGCTCGTGTATCCGTATCTTTGACATTTGAGCCACATTCCACATCAAATTGTCAAAGCCATGACCTCCGAACACTTATATACCCCCTTGCCGCGCAAGATATGTGTACCAACTCGAACTCACCCCATACCGTTCTCCTTCAACGACTCAGTTCCCGTGCTCCGATATGAACAGATTCAACTCTCTAAACTCCCACCTTCCCCCGCGGTTTCGCGCCCAAATTCATGATACCCCGAACGAACAGCAGAATCAGGAGCTTTCTGAGAGGTTATTGACCGAAGCCGTGACGGCCTACCATCGCTCTTACTTTCCGAACGATCCGAGGCACACAGGCATTGGAGGTCTTCCCTATGTCGGGCACGGTTATTATCAGAACACAGGCCAACATGTTTTCCCGCACTTCCAGCCGCCGGCCCTGGTGCCAAACGCTCTGAACTCGGGAAATTCCCAAGCTACCGTTGCTCCAGAGTACTATCGTGGTAATGCGCTAGGCATGCATTTTGACCTACAGCGTAACAATGCGCACACGACACCTGCGGGCACCCACCGCGCTTTTGATGCACGTATGCTCATGTGTTCTGCCCAAACTTGTATATCTGATAGTCTATTTTTGCAGGCTGCGGAGCAGAAAGTCGAGGGAGAACAGGCTGAAGCTACGCCCAACCAGGACAAATGCGAAATCCAGTCTCTTCCAAGCAACCATCAGCATCGTGTTTCCCTCTTTTTGCATGAGGTTCTGGCGTACGGACAGTCTGACTTTACTTGGCGTGTTTCCCATCCCGTCACCACTGCACAATGCGGCGCTGACCTGGCTCCGCCGTCGGTTTTACACTCTTCCGCCATGATACCGCCGCGTTCCTCCATCGAAGTTGTTGTCGGCGAAGGCCTCACTTACGACGTCCGCATCGTCGCGACGCCTCTCACCTGTCCTACGTTAGTCGGTACCAACCATAAGACCGGAGAGCCGGAGTACAAACCAGTACTCACTGTATGCGCGGTCATGGGAAATCTCTACAGGGCATTTAACACGCGCCTTCCGGCAGCGCATTGGCGCACGCTCAGCATCAACCAGAAGTTGTTCCTTGCTAAAGGCCTACGTACGCGGCGCGGGGATGACAATTCGGGAATGTTCAACGACGCGATGTCGGTGTGGAACTTCAACCTGAACGAGGAGGAGCAGCGATGCGTGGAAGTGGAGATGCACCAGCTCCTCGATGCATACGCTTTCCCCGTTGAAGAGGGTTCGATGATAAGCTCGCAGATTCAAGGCGTCTTGGTT